CACTGTGCGGCGTCGGGTGGGGTCAGGTCTATATCACGCGCAATCAGCTGACGCTCCGCATTGCAGACTACAGAGTCCAGCGGCGCTATGTACGCGCTCTTCCTCCTCAGCAGCCTGCTGGGCTTGGGTAAGCCTGGGATCCTTCCCCACTTCAGACAGGGAAGGGGTGCCCGGCGTGGCCCACGCCGGGAGGGGACCGGACCGAATCCTGCGGGCCGAAGTCCTCCGCTCCCGGGCCAGGCGGTGGCAGGGCTGACTGCGCAGGCGCGGCCGGCGGCCTTGCAGAGCGGGTGGGCCGGGGCGAGGGGCTGCCGCTGTGTGGGGTGGGTGGCCTGGGTGGTCCGCTGGGGTCCCAGGGGACTCTCCCGCTTCAGGGCCAGGCCTGGGCCGGAGCCCCGCACCACAGAGTATGGGCCCTAGGCCTCCGGGGCCCGTCTGTCGTCCGAGCTTGACCTCTGCCTAGGGTCCTCGCGGGAGCCCAGGTCTGGAAGGTGACGGGCGGGGACGTTTTGCTTGGATAGGGCCGGGGATTTAGCTCAGTGGTTCTGCCGCCTGCCTCGCAAGCGCAAGGAGCCGAGTTTGATCCCCGGTACCAAAAAAAGAAAACACACTAAACACTTTGCAGGGAAGGCCTCACACCCCCTCCCGCTTTCCGATGCGTTACACGGCCTTTGGCCTATATTTTGTGGCAAAGGTAAGTCTGGGAGAAGTGTGCACAGAGCCACGGGCCTATTTATTGTCCTAAAATGATGCTGGCGAGTGTAAAATTGCCGCAGGCTATGAAGGCAGCGCCTGGGAACCAGGTCACTGACTTTCTGGCTCCCCGTGTCATCGCTGCGACCCTTGTTTTTAGTTATTTTTTCTTCTTTTTTTGTGTTTTTGGTACCGGGGATCGAACTCGGAGCCTTGCGCTTTCAAGGCAGGTGCCAGAACCACTGAGCTAAATTCCCAGCTCTATTTTTCCTTCTTAACATCTTAACATCGTCTTGTCTAAATCATTGTGGTAAAGAGAGGTGAATTATTAATGTTGTACATTTTATTTTTAGGGTTCTTTATTTAATGTAGGGTTTTGGTATGTAGTCCAGGCTGGCCTTGAAGTCTTGCTGATCCTCCTGCCTCAGCCTCCAGGGTGGTGGGATCACAGGTGTGCGCCACTGTGCCCGGCTCAAATTGTACGTTTTGAAAGTCATAGAGCCAGACTTTAATTTCTTTATTTCTTTTTTTTTTTTTTTTTTTTGTACCAGGGATCGAACCCTGGACCTTGCATTTTTGAAGCAGGCGGCAGAACCACTGAGCTAAATCCCCGGCTCCAGATTTTAATTTCTATGCAGAGAGAATCCTACATCATAGCCCACTAAGGAAACAAACCTGATCACCAGCTTCCCTAATCTTAATTTGTTTCTTAGTAGTTGTATGTAATTTACTCACTAGTTTTTGCCAGGAGTGGTGGTGCCTACCTGTAATCCCATCCCCAGCCTTTAAAAAAATTTTTTTTTTATCTTGAGACAGCATTAAGACTTGCTGAGTCCCTAAATTGCCCCAGCTAGGCTCAAATTTGCAATCTTCCTGCCTCAGCCTCTCAGTGCTGGGATTACAGGCATACATGCCCAATTTCTGATTTTAATAAACAATACCAAAGTGGGTAACAGTTGATCGAAGACTAAAGAAAGTAATTACCGATCCATACATAATCAGACTTTATGTCATCTTTCAGCAACTCTAGAATGTGCCTTGAGTAGGGCTTGGAGACACACACCAGTTATCCCATTTGCCTGTAATCTCCCAGCTATTTGGAAGGCTGATGCAGGAGGATCACAAGTTTGAGGCCAGCCTGAGCAATTTAGACCCTGTCTCAAAATAAAAAAGGGGCATAGCTCAGGGATAGAGCTACTTCTAGGCATAGAGCTTGCCTAGCACCAGCAAGGCCCTGAGTTTAATTTTTTTTTTTTGGTACCAGGGATCGAACTCCAGACCTTGCGCTTTTGAGGCAGGCGGTGGAACCACTGAGCTAAATCCTCGGCCCCCTGGGTTTAATTTTTAACATTTATTTATTTATTTTTGGCACCAGGGATCAAACTTGGGTCCTTGTGCTTTTGAGGCAGGAGGCAGAACCACTGAGCTACATCCCCAGCCCCTTCTGCGTTTAATTTTTAGTACTGAGGGGCCGGGGATGTAGCTCAGTGGCACCGTGCCTGCCTCACAAGTGCAAGGTCCTGAATTCAATCCCTGGTACCAAAAAATAAATTTTTTTTAGTACTGAGAAAAAAGTGTTTGGCCTTACATGAAGTTCTTAAATTTCTTTTACTTGTAGACTGTGAAAGGTGATTTTTTTGTTGGCACTGAGTCACCCCTCATGAGACTCAAAGAGGTGTGAGTCAGCTGCCTTGGTGGCCTGTAATCCTAGCACTCTTGGAGGCTGAAGCAGAAGGATTGCAAGTTTGAACCCAACCCAGGCAACTTAGTGAAACCCTGTCTCAAAATAAAAATAGAAAGGGCTGGGGATATAGCTCAGTGCAAAGGCCTTGGGCTCAATCCCCAGTACCACACGCACATGAGGGAAAAAGTTCTGACTCAGACATCCAAAAGATGCTTAAACAGCTCTTTAGAAATGTAGTCTGCTCTGGTGTAGGTGGGTGTGTGTGTGTTGGCCAGAGGTGTGCTTAACCAGGGCCCTTGGTGTGCAGCACATAGGTAAACAGGCGTGTGCTTGCTGGCTTGGTCTCTCCTTGTGGCCACACCTTTAGGGTCATGCCCGGGACAGTGGTGACAGTGGTGACAGTGTGGGATGCTGGCCTGCTTTCGAAGCTCGACCCACAGCTTTCAGGGAAATGCAATCCCTAAGTTTCTCCAGACACTCACTGCGTTTATCTCTGTCCAGGAATTCGTAGTCACCGGAACCATTGGCTGCTCCCTGGCAGGTCTTGGACTCAGGGCTTTTCCTACCTGTGTTTTAGCTGGGTCCTGGGTCCTGGGTGTGGCTCAGTGTTGGAGGCTGGTCTAGCTGGTGCCAGGCTCTGGGTGCCACCCAGCACCACTAGAAAAAGCCCTGGACACTGGACTTTTCTGCCAGAAAACTGCCCTTTCTGTTGTCCCTGCCTTTTCCTCACCTAAAACGGCCTAATGAGAGACTTGGAGAGCACCTGACCAATAAAGTTGCCTGGGGTCGACACCCCAATCACAGGCTATTTCCTGGGGTGCCAGGCCCAGAACCAGAAGTCTCACATGCATCTTTCCACACCCTTCAACACCTCCCTCTTAATTTTTAAAAAACACAGTGTGTGTGTAGGTGAATGCCCCAGGGCGAACCCCTGGTCAGTGACCCCAGGGTCCCAGGAGAGCATTGGCAGCAGCCCCCCTTGCCCAGCCCAGCTCCTAACAGTGGAGCTGTCAGCGTTGCCATTTTGAACTTTTGCTTTTTTGAGACGGGGTCTCTCTGTGTAGCTCAGGTTGGCCTCAAACTCGCAGTGATCCTCCTGCCTCAGCTTTCCAGGTGCTGGGATTATAAGCGTGCATCACCACACCCAGATGGTTGGAGAATATTCTAGATCTGGCAAGGAGAACTTGGTCCTCCATTTTCTTGACCTTCCGGGCAACCCAACAGCACCCAATGAGGCATGCCTGGGACCTTCTCAAGGTCAAGACCAAGGCCAAGCCCAGCCACCTGGACTGGCTCCTGGTGTGTTTTTGGGCTGGTCTGCTAGCTAGCAGGAATTGTAGAGTTTTGGCTGCTGGGCTGCAAGCCCTGCTCTCCAGCAACTTTTTTGCTGTGCTGCTGGGAATGAGGGCCTGCATTTTCTTTTATTTTTATTTTTTATTTGTTTTTTGGGGGCCCTCGATTTTCTTTAACACAACAGAAGGGAGTAAGTAGTTACCTTGACCTACTTAGTTAAAAGGGGTGGGGTTTTTTTTGTCTTTTTGGGTGTTTTTGTGCGGGAGTTAGAACCAGGGCCTCAAAACACCTGCCAGGCAAGTTCTCTTCTGAGCTACACCCTCAGCCTTCCAAGTTTTTAAGTTATTTTGAAAGATAGTGATATGGGGATTAGAGTGAAGAATTTGGCTGTTGTAAAGGTACTAATTGGTTCATGATATGCAGTTTCATAATCATGTGGGTGTGGGATTTATGTTGGGCTGAGCTGAGACGGTAGGAGGTTAACGTTATCACATTGTTGATACTGACTGTAAGACCTCAGGCAAGGTCCTTAACCTGACTTCCTCAGCTGCAAAATGGCACTAATTATGCCTGTGTCACTGGGCTGCTGTAAGGCTTCAGTTGATAGGCTTAGCAAGGTACGTGTTTGTAGTTGTACCACTAATAAGTATGATTTTGTGTTGTCAACATCCTCAACCTACCCTCCTGCCCTTGATTTTGTGATTTCTCAGAATCTTTATTTCAGACGATATTATGAAGCAGAATGTTGTGGCACATGCCTGTAATCCCAGCACTCGGGAGGCTGAGGCAGGAGGATCACTGTGAGTTGGGAGGCCAGCCTGGGCTACATAGTGAGACCCTGTCTCAAAAAATTAAAACCAAAAAACCCCAACAAATAAAAAACCCCCAAAGGCTATTAGGAGTTTAACAGACAAACTGACGTATACAAATCGGTGTGCTGTGCACAGTTACTGAGTCAGGAAAACAAGGCAGGTGGTCATTAGGGAGGAGGGAGCTGGGAGTTGCTGTAGTAGGCCAGTCTTCAGTGTGCAGCAGCCCAGCAGGTCAGAGCCGGGTCTTGTTAGCCCGAGCCCCTGGACGTAGACCTGTTGTGTAGACTCAGGCTGTCTGTGCACGCCTGCAGCCTGGCGATGTGTTCCGAACAGGTGATACTCTGTCCTTAATGGACGGGAGAGGAGGAAGCCTGTCTCAGGCTGTGAGCCTGGGGCGCAGTTTCCTCTTCCCTTCTCAAGGTAAATGGTTGCACAGTCTGTCAACCCATTGTTTTACTTCTGGCTCTTCATTTTGTTTTTTTGAAATAGGGTCTCACTAAGCATTTTTTTTTTTTAAAGGGAGGGAATCTGGCTCTGCAGAGCAAGCTTGGACTGGGTAAATAGAAAAAGAGGGAGAAAGCAAAGATAAAAGTACACGGTGCATCTGGGAAATGCAGTGTGGGCTATCATGGAAAGTTATGATAG